CAGCCCTTCTATTCTCTTTAGCCCTGATTAGATCTGCTGCATCAAGTCGTGAATCTAGTCATGGGCAAAATACGCAGTTGCCTCCTGTCTTAAGGAAAACTCTTTCTAACTCTAAGGAAAAAGATAATGTGATAGAAGCAGTGAAAGGATCCGTTGGAGATGGTACCTCTAGTGAGATTAAAGCCACTGAAATGAAAAAGAATCCTGAACCCCAACTCATTGGCAAAGGAACTGATTCAATGGGTTCGCTTATTTGCGATTTTTTTTTAATGTATTAACTTTTTTAAAAGCTGTTGACGTTAGCAATCAAGTATTGGTTATTAACCTCTAGCCTTTTATTTTTCCAGAACTTACGTTGAAAGGTCCAGAATATAATATAGATCAGATGGAAGTTAAAGCTAGGCTCCTGATTGATGAGTTTTTACATAATAATGATTTTGAGGTATGCGAGAGTTAACTTTCAGTTATAATTTTGAAATATTATAGTTGAAATTTTTCATTATTTATTTGAAAGAATGCTTTGGGAAAGAATTTTCTCAGACAATTTAAATGTTAAGGACTTTTCCTGATTTTAATTGGTAGCTTTCTCATAATTAAATTAAATGTAAAAGTGCTGTTAAATGTGAAATACTCAATACAATAAAAAAACATAAACTTTNTTTTAAATTTTTGTTTTCGGTGGAGAAATTAGTTATACATTTCAGGGTGCATAGCGTTTTTAAAAAGTGATTAATTTTCCCTTTTTCAAAATGAGATTTTTCCTTTAGCATGTTGATTTTCGCTACAAATTATGCAAACAGACACAGTTCACATTGTTCTATTCAATGTTTTCACGATTAATTCAACCCCAATCTATTTCGGCGTATGGTCAGTCCGTAGCGTATAGAAATGCCATTCGTTTTACATGATTCAAAATTTCATGGTTTTTGACAATTTTTTTTTTGACATGACGGTTAAAACAAAATAAAACCGTCAGTTGTCAAAAACTTTCCAACCATGCCTAATCATATTTTTTTAAGTGCTTAAAAATATTTTTTGAGTGCTAGAAAAGTGCTTAAAAGGTGCTTATTTTTTGTAGAATAATTTGGCCACGCTCATTGCCTTTAATTTATATTGAATTGGGTTCCTATCCTCTTCATTTCTAATCCTTGAGAAAATATATTTATAAACCAGTCATTGTTTTTACCTTTTTTAGGAAGCAATCAGGTATGTCAAGGAGCTGGCTTCGCCTAGTACAATCCACTTGTTCATCAATGCTGAAATTAACAATGTCTTAGAGCTTTCTGTCGAAGCACGCCAATTACTTTTTAACTTAGTCAAACAAAATATTATCACCTTCGATCATTATAAAAAAGGGTAGATTCAGAATTTTTTTATTTTCAGTTTATTTTTTATTGATAATCAAGTTGAGCATCAAAAAATTTTAAGACTAAAATTTTAATGTAATGCTTATGAAATATTTTTTACAGTATTGTCAAGTATTTCCATCTTAAATATTTTTTACTCAGAATTACAATTAGCTATTTTTTTAAATGCATCTTTTCAGGACTTACCAAGCTATTTCCCTTTAAAGGCAAGATGCACGCAGTTCTTATATACCTTTGAAACTATTTA